TTAAAGAATGAAGAACTAGCTCTGACCAGTTTCGTCAGTTCATGCATTGACCCATTTCGCATTGGGAAGAGAAGAAGTCGGGACCCAGCCTTTTCCGTCATTCTGTAAAGTAGAATGCATGATTATGGATTATGTATAAAAATTTATTGAAAACAATACTGCTTCTTAAGTACAACGACTTAATCTCAGAATTCCAGACTGTTCCACTTTTTGACTGACATAGCAAAAAAGACCGTCCTCAGACGGTAGGTAGACGTAATAAAAGGGCATAAAGTACACAGCGTCGACGGCCGTTATCCAGACCGATGAGTCCAAAAGAACTGGCAATCAAGCAAACGCGCACAAAGTACAACGCATGTGATGAGAGTTAATTGCTCCATGTTGTGACGATGTGACCCTCTGAGGCTTGGACTACGCCTTGATAGAAGACGTATATTCCTGAAATATATGATCTTCATGTTTACTCATTTAATGGAGGAATTTACATTTTAAGAACAACCTGGCGCTTACGTAAAGAATAAAAGAACGCGCATTAGTCAGATTTGGTAAAGGCTGGGCAAGGACGACTAACAGATACACCCTTCTATCTATGGTGGATACTAGTTACTGAGGAATCGCAAAAAAGCTTTCCATTAAGTCTAGTAGGAATCAGTAAAATGGAAGAAAACGCTGAAATGCACCATTCACAGGTGAAGAATCGAAAATGGTCTGGTTACATAAACGTATCTTGTGCGTGCATGAGAAGTTCATGCAAGCACTATTGTTATCCATCTGTAAGCCAACCAAATGAACGCCGAAACCCATATCTATGGAGACTAAGCGCCCACGGTCATTGTCCAACCATATTAGTTGTTTCGGTTCGATAACTTATAACCTTACTTCCATCGTCAGTTTACCGGGGGATGGGAAGCTGAATAATTACTGTGTCGCCCAAAATCTTTTGTCTATCGGAATTATGTTGGTACTTCTTTTGTAGTTTTTCGATGTTCTCTCCCCAAATTTTTTATATAATACCGTTACTTTGTAAGTAATGCAGAGCTCAAAGATGTAGACCTAAACTCCTCCGAATAAACTGAACGGAACCATAAATGCCTGGTATATGTCTATTTGTCCCAGGAGAGTAATCATTTGGCCATGATGTCGAGTTGAACGTAGGATGAGTTGCATAACTTGGCGCCTTAATGCCATCAAACAATTACCATTCGTTTTTCATGAGTGTTTCCGACAACTCTGAAATGCAAGGCGGGATCATCATTTCATCCTGATCAGAGCACCACTAAACATTACTATGTACTGGCGCTTTAGCGGACTTCGCATCTATACCAAGTATTCAAGGCAATCGGACATTCAGGATTAACCTGAGTAATTCATTGACCTCTTCGGGTAAATCAAAGACAGGACGCCTTGGACTCTTCTGCTGTCGACTTAAATTCCTCAGGACTTTGGTGCGCTGTTGTTATTCATAAAGCCTTCATTCTTTTATTGATGGTTTGTCAATTTCCTCTCTGTGTTAGAGGATATAGTCCAAATTTGCTATATTTGTCTCTCTGAAACTGTGATTCTTGAGTAGTATCCTAGTGCTTAGCGGCTCAGCACATAACAACTGGAAGATTTGCGCCAAGATGATTGGTTTCGATTACTTCTTTTACAGATCATTGACACTTCCGAGCTTACCACAATGATGTGCCGTTGCTTTCGCGATAAACTCTAAATTTTACCGCATGATAAGGCAGCTTTTGCCTACACATCCACTGAACGTCATTTTGAAGGCATATGTTCTGCAAACAGTCGCAAATTGGAGTTTGTTTTAAGCGACCGGAAGTAATCAGGAGAAGAGACAGCGGCGAATTCGGGTGCGCGTAAGCCCCAGATTACCCGGTTTTCTGTCCTTAGGTCACACCTCTAGATCCTCAGACTCGCTTACAAGCTCACAGGAGCTCAGCGGCAACCCTTTTATGTAAACTTTTGCAGTCGGCTTTGTTTTCGAATTTTGCAAGTAAACTTAATTATGTTTCGTTGTAAGTTCACCGTGATTTTACTGAAATTTGCGATCGTTAGCACTTCCTACTAGATGAGAAAGATGGTAATATGTTAGGCAACTGTAATTTGGCTTGTTCTAAAAGTGGAATAAAGTCGGAGTGAAAATATTACGAAACTACGACAAACAGGCCGAGTAAAAACCGCGAGGGCCATGTCTGCTGAACAGAGCAATCGCCTACCTCTAGAGGATTACGGCGACGGGTACGACACGAAAGTCACCGTGTATATCGAAGCAGTTGATGGCGTCCACGAGATAAAAATTCTTTACTGAAAGCAAAACCTCAACATGTACTTCCGCATCAGCCCGGCGTGCCTCCAAGGGCGAAGTACAGCGGTTAAATTCGTCATTGTGCGTCCCAGTGTTTACCACCCAATCTCGAGAAGGCTAATGTTACCTGCATTTTCGGTTGGGAGAAGAGATTAAGGTAACATAAAGAAGCCTACAACTGATCTTACTAGCTGTATTCCCTTAAGATAGATTCTAGGTGGACCTCGCCATGGCCGAGTCCTTCCGATCGTCAGAGGAGTTGCTGATTTGGACTGCCTTCGGGTACTGGACCACAAACGGAATTTACTCTAGCATACCTTGCAAACCATCCCGTGTTCCGGGCTCCTTAATATGCCCAGCAGAGGGGGTAAATATACAAACGATTCTTTCGGAATCCAGCTCCTTCAGCGAGTCTTTCAAATATTCTTTTATCACCTGATCACCCAATTACTCAGTCTACCACCCGCCCGATTTCCCACTCAATCAGACTTGCGCTTGACACGCCTGATCTAGTCGGCCTCGATGGTGTCACGTATTGTACCTGTTCTCACGTGATGATCTGCGACAGTAGATGTGGACAGCTCGACCCCATAACTTCCCCAGCGATGGAGACCGAACACCGAAGGTTCAAGAACCACATCCAAGTCTTGACAGACTGTTTTGAGTTAGATTTTCAGCCGGCCTCTTCAACGCCTCCAGGCTGGGAACGGCGCTGGGTCGACGGCAGTAACACTGGACTTGTGAGGAAAGTGAAAGACGTGCCCAAACCACCTCAGTCGTCTTTCTTAGACGCCTTGAGATGTTCTCGCAATCATACCGTAGCGAGTGTGAACTGTGTCATTTGAGACGGATTCGGTGTACTTCACTTGCGGAATGGTCCTCAAGTAACGGTGGTCAAATATCGCAACTTTCGCTCATCTTTCACGCTCACAGCCCAGTAATTACAATCGTAGAGGAGGATTGACTGGACGGGTGCATGGCACACACGGATCTTTGAAGCGAAGGAGATGTCGCGTCAGGTCGATAGACATTTCCTAAGGCTTAAGAAAACCCTGTGAGCAGCGTTGGCTCGCGAGACAACTTCGTCCTTATTCTATCCATTCAGCGGCACCTCGAGGAATTTGAAACCGTCGTTAATCTCGAGCAGTGTCTTCCTTTGGTCAGGGATGCAGCGTGAGAACACGTTGGCCTTCCCAGCGTTTATGGATAGACCGACGGATTTCGCAACTTCACCTGTGCCACCACAGACTGCAGATCATTAAAACTTGAGGGCGACAGGGCGATGTCTTCAGCGTAGTCGAGACCAGTCAGCCGGCATCCGAGTGCAAACTCAACACCGCCGAAACGTGTATGACTTGCTCAATTACCCCATGGAGCCAGAGCGCCAGAATGTTGACACAATACATGTAGATTTTAACGAGAATACCGCTCAAAATGCTCACTCCAGAGACCGACCTTGGTGGAGGTGTCAGCAATAAAGTTGTCATTCACACTGCGAACAGAGTCATTACGTGTCGAAGACTTACCACTAACCTGGCGGACAATTTGGTAGAGTTTCCCAGTGTCACCAACGCTTGAGGCCTGTTCAATGAAGATTGCTGTTTCAGCCTAATATTTCTGTTGGCCATCTTTAGTTGATCATTATGATTTTCCAGAGTTGGCGAAGGGAGTCATAGTTACGGGACCTGGCTCCAACAGTCTGCTCATTTGCCTCGCACTGACGACAGGGCTCGGTCTCCAGGGGGGTGTAGTCGGTGTCACGCACGCGAATTATCATGTGAAGTCTCCCTCCCCCAAATAACCGTTTTCTTTGTAGGCAGGATAGCATTATCGACAAAAACAAGGGACACTGGAACGGCCATTTCGGGCTTATTGGCCATCGTCAGCCAACCACTCCTAACCCTGAGACGTGGAACACCTGGGGGCTCGATACCGCGACCTGTTAGTCAGAAGTCTAAAGTCCCTAACCGCTGAGACATGGACTCGTCCTGTCGGTTGCGATCGGGAATATACAATGGCAAAGGGGCGCTCACCGATCGTGCAACGGAATTCACTTCCCCTATTGGGTCTTAGGGCTCTCTCGATCCCAACCAGCAGCTGCAGAGCAGCGCATAATATAAGCAGAATAGCATTACCGACAAAGACAAGGGAGACTGGAATGGCGATTGGTGAGCGCCCCTCGCATTCTCTGTCCTCAGAGTACGCCTTTAGGCCCTCAAACTCGCTTGGGAAGTGGCGATGCCAATCCTTTTCTGTAATCATTTGCCTCCTTTCTTAGCCGACTGCTATCTATTGCAATAGTTAAAATCACCTCTGGCCAATGTCATTATCCCCTCCTCTCACTCTCCTGCTTGACATTCTATTGTTATTCCCTTTTACGATCACATTCAAGTGTCGTATTGATCCCTATTTATTCGGCCATTCTAGGTTGACACACAAGTAAGCTAATGGCCACACAAGTGTCGGTGACGTCCAACGCTATTGACCTTAAAGGGTCCGTTGAGGTTGTTGCGGACTACTTCTGTATGTCTACTTTTTTATCATTGCCTTAGATGTTGCCATCAATAACATCCTCTATGTTCGCGGAATATATCCGGAAAGACTGTTTAAGCAAGTAAAAAAGTTTGAGAGAACTGTCCTGATCACAATTGATGAAGAGCTTGACAAATACTTAAAGTGCATAGTGGATCAAATGCGAGGTAAGGTGACTCTTTGCTTATTGGTAGTCTGGTTGCAGAAGGGCTCCCTCAAGCGTCTTGTTCTGGCCATAAAATGCGCAAAAACCGATGAGGTTCTTGAGCGCTGGCAGTTCAATGTCATCAAGGAGGAAGACGCTCTTGAAAAGTAAGATCCTTCTTAGCATCTTACTTTTTCAGAAATCTCCCACCGAAGACCACTGAACAGGTCAGCGCCGAGCTTGGCGCTATTGTCCGTCAAATTGTCACCTCAACCACATTCCTGCCGACACTTTCAACATCTTGTAAGGAATTCTAACATCTTTAGTTTCATTTTATATGACCTGCCGGTATGGGGTATTTGTCATTGTTGGCGTAATTTTGGACGTCGATAGCCCGAAGTACTCCTTTCCCCCAACCCTTCCCTATTACCAATCCGCTACATGTATTGTCTGCCTTACTCACAAGGATATCAAGGCTCCCTTGTTTTCGGAAATGTTTGCATGACATGCTGTGTAGGACATTAGCCCTCTTGTCGAGGCATATTCCGTCGAGTTCTCATAATGCTAGTGAATATGGTAGATACATCTCCCTCTCGCAGTGTTGGGTTCGAATTAATTTTTGTCTGTTTCAGCAGTGTACTTTTGGCTGCCCAGTCCTCTTGCTTTTTCTGTCTGCTGTAAGCGTTCACTTGACTCGACATTGCGTTCTTGTCTGAACTCCTTCACTCTGCCTTTTTCTAGCGTTGTGCCCACGTGTTGGTTTCCACAGGGTGTTATACTTCGCCTGAGCTGACATAGTGCTCCAATAAGTTTGTTCGAACGTCCTGTAATGGTATTAAATCCGACCAGGTGAAATTCGATTTAATCGAAATGACTTTATTCCGAGTTTAGCTGGTAAACGCCTAGTCTCTTGTATTTACAAGAGGGCCATTTTTACTCTCGACGTCAGTGGCCGTCTTTGCTAGAAGAAGTATAAGGGGATAACACTTTCTGTTCTTATTCTTTGCCATCTCCACAATCCTTTGGTATAACTTTACGTATGTCGTGCTGGTCGACAGCATGTTATCTTGTATTCTCTTTCCCTTTGCTGTTCGTTGTTATTCTCACTAATTCCAAGCTTGCTCTGACCTTTATACTTAACGTCCCCACATTGCTTTTGTTTTACGAACCTGTACATACATATCAAGCAACTGTTTTCATCACGCTCGATCCTTCTTGTTTGATCAGTTTTTGTTTAGAATTTCCGAACGTCTCCCATTTATTGTGCACTTAAAATTGTTTCAGGCACCTTCGATCTGCTTGTTTACACTGACAAAAATACCGATATTCCAGACGGATGGGGTGAGACAGGACCACGGTTTGTTTCAAATTCTACAGAAGTTCCTCTGCGCTCTTTTTCGACGCGCATCCACAAGGTCGAGTCTATTGTCTCCTATCGAGTTTCATGACACATCGGTTAAAAGATTTGTGAACTTATTTTGTTATAATACAACGACTTTTTATACACGGGGTTTTTTCGTCTTTTTTCACGGATCCCGATCCCACGTTGCTCAGAACGGCGATTTACGGGCATTCAGCTTTGTTATTATACATGCAGGTCTATTCTTCCGAGCGTCGTTTCCGAAATTCCTGGGTTTAGTTTTGATGCCGACCTATATTGAGTGTTATCTAACACACCGAAGAGCTTTAGAACCCGCTGACTTTCTTCATATTTCTGAACGGGATTCAGCGACAGTGTCCGTTTCTCTGTATTATTGGTCAGCAGTACTTTTGCCGAGTGCATTAGCTAAAAAGGCGAAAATGTGCTAACGTGTACACCACTTCGTCATGGTGGAATAGTGTATGGTTCCGCTTCTTACAATGTCCAGCTAAGACGGGTATGCGTTCTGGAGGCCCAATGCATCCCAAAGTAGTGTTAGCACGTCAAACTTAGTATCTAGGCAGGCTGCTAAGGCTACGCGTCCTGTCCGGAGACCTTATTTTTGGAGGTATAAACTAATCGAGCACTGGTTGGCTGACGCCGCTCCTTTTCTCCGCTTATTTCAAGATGCGAAGTCTGTCTTTTCCAGTGATGAATTTTTCTGCATGAGGGCTTGTTACGCTGGCTTTCTCCGTGCCAGCTGTCATTCTTAAATGGTTTGGGGTGGTTACACTAAGTCGCAATGAGCGCGCATCGTCTTCCTCAAGACTGAGTGTTTGTGCCCGATTTGGGAGGCAGTTTTGCACCAATCACCATTGGGACCACCTTCCTCTTGTCTTCTACCAACATGCGATCATTCGTCGGTCGCGGGACAATGAAAATCATCTTCCCGAGAGGCAGTGATGACTTGAACACGTCTTTGGTAGTTGGGGGACCGGTCTCGCATACGTCATTCACTTGCAAGATTAAGAAGGTCGGGGTAGTATGGATGCACTGGCCGACCAGGCATGAGGATCCCACCTACGCTGGTCCCTTAGGATTTTCGCAAGTAGTCTGAGCTGCTTGTGTGGGTCACTGTATGGTCTTTGGGTAGATCTGATTATTCCTCCAAATCCCTCTCAAATGTAGGTCCTTGAACATCACAATTCGCCGTTGTCTTCTCTCCTCTTTTGGATGTGTATAATCACGCATACGGGCTGGTCCGCGAGCGTAGTCGGTCTCGAAAACACCCCCCTATCCTATATCATGTACCTCACCACGGGAAATGCGGCTACTTAGGGGAAAGTCCGTCTAGCTGCTCGCTAGGCTATCTCTAGAAAATCCGGCAGACAGTTCCTTAACACAACAGTGGATGTTCGCGTTAGGGATATGCAACCGGTTCCGGCCAGCTAATGACAATCGATACACCGAGAACCAGTTCCTTGGTCGCTAATTAGGTAGATGATTGAGAAGTCGCCTGCTTCAGTACGGCACTCTAGACTCCGGAAAGGGAGAATAGTTGTCAACCAGACGTTGTAGTGTATCTTGATTGCGCTGGCCGGCCGATGATATTCTGGCGCATATAGGACCGATCCGAGTCCTTCGAATTGCATTTACGCATGCGCGTCATCCCGCAGCTCCCGCTCATGCAGTATTTGTCACGCCTGTTAAAAGTGAACCGCCACACCGTGTCTGTCGACGTACTCACAGGGTCCACTGGGAATTATTGTTGGTCGATTTCCCCGTGCTTACGTTTATCTGAACCTATCTACATGACGAGAACAATGGGAATACACCCTGTTTATTGGCGATTAGTGACCTCAGTTCACAATGCCATCGGAATATTCAGCGTTTGAGAGAGTAGTCGACGTACCTGCCCTTCATCTTCCTCACTTTGCCGATACAAGCGAAGATGCGAATTCCAGGTACTAGTTGATAAGAAGTAGAAGGAACGCTGGAACAAGGGCTTTGTTCGCCCGACGTTTCGGCTTCTCGCGCAAACTCATCATCAGAGACAGTGCCAGATACGGGTGATTCGCGCAAAGGAAGTTGCAGTATTTATAGTATGCAGTCGCTATACTAATGCATCCCCATGATAATTAACCACTACCCCCTTCATCTAGGATTGTTACCCGCTGATGCACTAATTGCTTGATGGCCGACATGTAAGTTGCTGATTACTGAAATCTCATTGTCCATGTTGAAGGCTGACGTGATGATTGCTCGACCAGCTGACTCACCGGCCTGTGCGCTCCCCGAGTGGTTAATTACTGTGACCATACTATGCCTCAGCATTTACTATGGGATGGGGATGTCATTGCACTTGTCGATAGACTGCGGTCCCGTGAACCACGACTCAAGCAACTCGCGGCTTACGCGAGAATTTCGGCCTCATTGAACATGAATGTGTGGCGGGATTTCGTCGAATGGGTCGCGACTTGAGAGTTGGCGTCATTTCTCCTCACCGCCGCCGCGTGTTCGGCGATTCGCGTCCGGAGCTGTCTTCCAGTTCCTCCGAGGTAGTCGATTTGTTCGCAACTGCACCATATCCGGTACTTGTCATATACCCAATAGCATGCTGCCAGTTCTGTGCGGAATAGAAGACAGACAGGGTAAAAGAGAACAGCTTTACTGTGACTGTCACCCAGTGTACACCAACTTTCAATCCTTCTGTCCGTGGCTTCGTATTTAAGGGGCCTGCCTTTGTCTGTTTCGCGTGTTCCTACTGGTTCAGTCCCGAGTACCCGCATAGACAGACTCACGCGTGTTGTTGACTCTTGAAGGTCGCGCATAACTGGGCGGCAGGCTAATTGTTGGCTCGCACGCAGGCTTTCTTGGCAAGACTGATCTGCGGGTTTTCGGTTCTTTGTCAGGCATGACAGCCGGACGACAGGCACTGTGCGTCATGTTCTGGGCCGTAAACGACTCTAGATACTTCTTGTCGTGGCAGTGGGTCTTTTGGTCTCATCACCTGACGTCTAATGGTTGTCCCAGGCCTTTGTGCAATTCCAGGAATAGGTGCTTCGAAGACCGCAGGCGGAGAGGCTGGTTGTGGCCAAAAATACTAGATTATAGTCGTAGGCTGAAGTGAAATCACACCTCCTTTGAGCAGTGGACAGGAGCAGTATCTCGCAACACTACGGTGTCCATTCCAAGTCAACGTGCCGGCTTTTGAATGCGCCTCTTTCCCGCCACCTGTAAAAATCGCACCTCCTAAAAAGACTGTTCAATTATTATACTTCTTTCCATTAATTTCTGATGCCTCTAGAAATTTAAATATATTTTTATTGCATGAATATGCCCTTTCTTGTATTCATTTGATGGCAACTTGCGTTTTCATTACAATTTGTCCTCGAAAAGGGGTAACTTCTGGTTTTAAAGAGTTTTTGACTGGTAGATTCTTAAGAGCATGAAAATCCGAATATCATCATACTTGTCCGTTTGTTAATGCTCCTTATAAAGTAGGCAAAGTGTACACATCTATTCCGAAATTTTATGAGCTCTACATGCTGGCTTCTTAATGGCATAAAACAATGGATAACTTTTCTTAGATGGAAAGCATGCGACTGGCGGTCTTGAAATTCCAAACGCAAGTGCGATAGCACGTCGCGTCCAAAATCATTCGAGAAATTAAAAACTTTTTGAAAACCAAAAGATAGCCTTCTTTCGGGCATACCGTCTGAAGAAGACACCATTTACTAACCAATAGGTACAAGAAAGGGTATATCGTGCATTTTTTCTGCAAAATATATTTTCGTTTGTAAGACCATCGGTAGGCAATGGAAAAAAATTCATACTACACGAGTAGTCGCCCATAACTTCGTCTAGTTTTTGCAGGCGGCAGGAAGGACGTACATTCCATTAAATATCCTGGAGTCATGCCGTATGATAATCAATATTACAACTCCGCCTAGGTAATCCTCTCTAACCGAAAACATATTTCAAAACGAATGTCTACATTTCGTGAGATACGACACCTACTGCGATATCTCAAAGACCTGCATATATGGTCTGCTTTAAGGCTGAAAGTCGAAGACTGGTCACACAACCTGAGCGTGGAAACGCGAAAGTGATTCCCACTATCGACTTTTGATGAAGATCCCAGAATGTCACTCGATTGTGCTGGAAAGATGGAAATTTTTCGGCACGCCAAGTAGACAATATGGACATTTCGATAAATGCTGAGAGGAACCGCTACTGATTTAAAATAATCAGCTGCCCTCAAAACTGTGCCTAAAATTTTATTTCTTTCTACGGAGTCTGTACAAACATTTTCCGTTCTACATCAAAACTGATTGCACTATTCGACGTGTCAACTGCAAACCCTTCATTTCTTATATACTCTTGCTGTCGCTCAGTACAGAGGAGCACTAATAATGAAGTCAACTTCTTGACCCGAGACAGCTCCACAGCGTATGCTTGGACGATATCTTAAATAAGTGCGCAACTCGCGTTTAGGTTTCTAGCTCATATAGGACCTAAGAAATTTATAGTCATATAAGCAGGCTATATAATGAGAGCTGAGTTAAGAACGACGCCCGAATTGCGCATAAGCATGCTTCCCGGATAGATTGATGAGCGCCATTTCCATGAAACTGTCCCCGACCGCACTCAACAGAACGTGATCTCGTGACCCAATGACCAAGTAGTCCTAGCTTCAGGGCCCAGAACTACGCAGTCTGAGGTTGTGGTGGTACTAGGTGCGACGGAAAAGAAGCCAGAGACTGACACTCCCCTGCACCTTGACATCCGCCTTAATAATCTTACACTATGTAAGTTTAAAGGGCAACACTTGTCCTCCCGGTGAAATATCCAGATATTCCCGCAATCGCCAGCGCTTCCGCCAACTCATGTCACGTTCAATCCGCTAAACACCCCCTGCCAATCGTTGCCTGGGTTGCATATGGCTTTACACCAACATGGCGACAGCTAGAGGCCAATCAACGCCGCGTCCTCTGCTGATTGGCTGAGGACCGACAAAGCCCAGGAGCATGCAAGCGTTTGGAGTCGGGGCTTACAACCTCAACGGCTGTTAGTCGGCTGAAGAAACGGCCTGTTGTAACTGCCTGCTCAGTAAAGTTTGTCTGGCAACTGTTCTCCCTGAATCAGGGTTTGGGAATCTTCGAATTGTCGACCATCACCCGTCGAAAAACGCTGTCCTGATTCTGCTAGTTTACCGGGTGCATGCCAAAAATCACCCTGCAGGATGTATGATTGCTGCCATCCCCAGATCAACGTTCATCGTGGTCTTATAAAGTCACCGAAAATAGTCCATATTCTGTGATTCATAATAAACCAATTGTTGCGTCGTATTTGGTCTTTCTATTGATGTAGGCAAACTCCTGGTCTTAGCTGTCAAGTGAACGAGTCGGAAGAGCGCTTTCCTAATTCTCGATCACAGATCCAATAAAATCGACCTTGTGGCTTGACGAACATGGAGACTGCAATTGTATTAATTTGGAAGGCGTAGCAACCACATATGCATTATCGATTTGGTCAAAGGCCTAACCAGCACTAACCATTTACTTTATGCGTGGCAATTCTCCAAAGAGCACAAAAATTCTAAAATTGTAGAAGGTGTATGTGGCCGCTTATTCAGACAAAGATCCTTGATCCACTTTCGTACAGCAACGTGTTTAAGAAATATGCACCAGTAATCAAATGTATTATCGACTTAAGTTTACAATATCCAACCACAAATCTTAATCTACTAAAAGTATCCCACGTGTGACTATGATTTCTGCCTGCTGCCTATAAAGGATAGGCCAAGGGGTCAGGAGTCGTGGACTAGCAAAGTCTCTCTCACTGTCAATAAAACCAGTCGGTCATGGGGTCAACCGAATGAGGCATGAAGATGAATCGCACTTAGGAAGAATACACCTTTGATTTGTTGCAAATCAAAGCTTAAAGCGCCGTAGTGACAAAAGGTGACAAAAGCAAGTGGCAGATGGAACTGATAGAATATTTGGGGCGAGAAGCGTCGCAATTAAAATATAAATCCAGCAGCGAGAGACCATTTGCGTCGACTACTCCGATTACCATGTTCTAGTTATTACGAATTACAGATTGTCGTGTGTGACAAAGCATCACTTCTCGTGGGTCGCCCCCCTTTACGGCAATGACTCCGCCAATAAACAAATGAGCAGATCCCAAGTCTACATAAGACCGCACAGTGCGGGCAAGTGTCGAGATAGTAGTTACCTCTGCTTTGATGCCTGCTACTTTTGAAAGGAAATATCGTTTTCTGGCCGTCAGGCCTATCATGTACTGGTACGTCAACACACATCCTATTTACCCGGCTTATTACTAGTGTAATCGGGGCAACCAACCGTATTCACACTTCATACAAACAAAAACTCTTTAACAGGCACGCGTTGGTCCTTGAACAAGTGATATCGATCCCATGCCAAGTGTGGGGAACAACAGGGCCGATATCCAAAACAGTATCTGTGGTTATATGGGGACCTGAAGTCGACTGGAGGTTAGCAATCAAGAATTAAGTAAAATGGAAGACCTCGGAGTTTATTGCTTAAAAACATCCGAAAACAGGCTTTGAAGTTGCACAAGAAAGGAGGCGAGCGCATACTTCGTCGCTGACAAGTCCGTGTGACGACTAAGACGGGGGTGCATAAGACCAAACAAGAAAAGGATGATATGTACAGGGTGAACGGGGCCAGATCCTTCACTGGCAATGCTACTTCTCCTGGAATTGATCACTCAGCTTTTGGTGGCCACTTCGGACCTTCGAGACCTGCTGGGCTGCGGCTTGCGGAGCATCTGTTGTTTCTTTACCTGAGACTTCACGATACATAGGGGCGAGGGCGGATCCTGCAGCAGTCGCAGTGCACTCAACGCGGATCGTCGTCCTGTGATGCTAGGCGAGGTGGAGTTGCCACTGCCACACATCGCCTCCCTGCCCATGCGCAGCCGAGGAACCGGCCGCAAAGGATAAACTTCAATCACCGGAGAGGCGCGGTCCTCCTCATCAGTTTCCAGCTGTCGGACCTGCACATGCAGTGGTTGCGCTGGCGGCTGACTGTGGTCATTTTCACACCACTGTCGTCGCTTCAGCTGTGCATGAAGTCGGTTGCTAATGGCCAGCAGCTTGTCGCGTTCGGCTCTCAGCCGTTCAACTTCCTCGCGCGCCTCCACACGGCCCTCCTCTTCCAGTGACTTCTTTCTGTTCTGGTGGGGTTGGTCTTCTCTTTCACCACCGCCCACCTCCGCGACGACCATAGAGGCCTCGAGTTGGGCTTGCGCCGACATGGTGGCTACTGCCTGCTTCAACCGGGCATTTTCCGACTGCAACTGATCACAGGTTTTGCGCAAGGTGTGAATCTGAGCGTCCAGTTTTTCCTGAGTCTCCTGTTGACGGTCGGGATCGTTGGCACCAGAGCCTAGATGAGGCAGACGGCAATTGGCTAGGGCCTGTTCCAAGTCCTCGCGCAGGCGGCAGTTTTCCAGCTCTGCGAGTCGGGCGGCCCGCAGTGCTAGTTGGCGATCCCGTTCTGCCTCCTGTACCAGGTTGCCAATGTCCTGAGCGTGTTTATCGGCCCTGGCGACGACATCCAGCAGCCGGCGTTTCTCAACCTCAGCTTCCTCAATTACTGAGTCTTTGGATGCAATAGTAGTTGCCAGCTCATTGTTGCGTTGATCCAAGGCCTCCCTGAAGGGCAGAAATGAAGCACTCAGAAGCCTGTCTTAGAACTTTGGCTAGTATAAGATGTAAAAATACCAATAGACCAACTACAGCGGAGCACACAGACGTAAAGTTCCCGGTTTGTTGAACATAATTTGAGGTTAAGACTAGCGAACACTGAAGGCCCATGTGTTTCATGTCATTACCCTATATTAACTTACGTCCCACTGTCACTGGGCGAACAATGGAGGAGTGCGGACATTCAAGATCAAACAGAGTATTTTGTAAACTGTGAAAAGGCAGTACACGTACCTAAAAACTCATGGTGCGGACTGAACGGTCCTACATGTTGGCTTCTAACAAAGGTCATTTATTCTAACTGTAGATTTATGGAAAAAGGAGTGATGGGCGAACGGCTTTGGGCACATTGAAAAGTTCATCAAGAACATCGTGCGCACAGGTGTAGGTGCAAATGGTTGCGAAACGGGGAGTGGGGATTGCATACTGTCCCGAAATAACCATATGCAAGTCCAGTGTAAAAATTAAAGACCAGTGAAACCTGGGTACACAATACGATGTGGCCTACCATATCCAGTGTCCGTTTCCCTGCTTTCTTTGTTAACGGCGAACGGTCGAATTTGCTGCTAGATCTTTAGACAGTAAATATATCTTTCTTCCCGTGAACGTCTTCGCTTCTTGTGATGCGGTGCCTGGAGATCTCATTTCCTCTACTATTAATATTTTCACTCCTGCAACGACTGTAAAATGGCCTGAATACTTGACTTAACGCACACTCAGGCGTAGAGATTTAAAACTGTAAGTCCAGTCGTCGGTCCTGAGAGTTAGAGTCCAGGATTCCATTGAGATGTAGATTTACGTCTGTTGCTGCGGACATTAATTTCGATCCGAACAAGCAGAAACGGTACCGAAGGAAATGAGGCCAAGATCAATAGCGTTTAAGAGTTATACTGTCGTAGGAGTCGGTGGCGGAAGGCAGGCGGTTCCGCACCCGAGTTCGACTTTAAAGTTTACAACGGGTATGAGAACTCATATTTGATAGTTCTCAATGACTGGAGGATAGATTGGTATTTCATCCGAACCGGACCGCAAGATGCCTTAAATCTCGGTCCATAAACAACAATAAAAGACGGTTCCTCGCTGAACAAGATCGAATATGCTTGGCAGCAGTGATGTCAAATTTCAGATCTTGACCTAAAAAGTTGTTTCGTTCTTCCATTAGTAATTGAATTTTTGGACGCCCAGGCCCTAACCAACACGCCGTGCAAGTGGAGTTGAGGTTGAATACTTACTTCAGTTCCTTGATTTCTGTCCGCATTTCCATCCTCTCCTTATCTCGACGGGCCTCCAGACGCGCCCATTTGGACTGCGCAGCAGTCAAATGTCTTTCAGCAGCGTTCAGTGCCTTGTTTTGCATCTCCAATCTGGCTTCCCGGCTCTCCACCTCCCCCTTTTGTACTGCCAACTCGGACTCCAGTTTTAATAGGGTCTCGCGTGTTGAACAAAGTTCGCTGGTTGTATGGCGTGCTTCTTGGCGTGCAAGGTTTGCGGCCTCCTCGGCTGCTCTGACTCTTAACTCCAGCACCGAGCGAGATTGTGCAGCCTCGGCGGCAGCATCGCTCGCTCGTCGTGCAGCTTCTGCGAGTGCCGCTTCAAGATCAGTCGCGGCACGAACCCGTTCCGCCTCTAGGTCAGCCTCGAGACGAGTGATCTGGGCCTGCAAGCGGCGTCTTTCGGCGGCCTCACTTTCAGTGAGCTGGGAGAGAGCCTGGTTGGATGCCCGGCGCAGATCCGTCTCCCGCACGACGGCTCGGCTGGTCTCCTCCTCGAAACGGCTCTTCCATTCTGTTTCACTCTGACGACTAGCTGTCAATTCACTGGTTAGTCTATCAACAGTAACCTTGAGTTCGCTGATTTCTTGATCACGTTTGGAGATGAGCTGTTAAGAGTATGCGGGGTATGGAATAAAAATACGAACACCGTTACAAGGAAGAGCCGCAGGGACGTCCGGACAGAAAATAGACAAGACAACCGTGTTGGGGATTGGATGGCCAAGATAGTTTGTGTTGCTGGCGAAAGAGATAAATATGCTGGACGCAAGCTAGAAGTCTAGCATAAGCACACTTATAGGGATTGTACCAACCATTGATAAAAAAACAATAGGAATGATGGATACCTGGATATAAGCCGGCTTCTACATTAATCTCACAATAAGCGATTAACTTTCCCCGGTTTGAACGTTTTGGCGTTTAATAAGTGCATTACTAATCATGAGAAAGAGTCGGCCGTCCAGAGCTTTGTTCTCTGATCGCGACGCCGGAAATCCGAACACCAGGTGGAATGAGAAAGACCTGTTCGTTGAGAGCAGCCCAAGGTGTATTAGTCGCTAAAAACCAAAAACAGCTATCTATGCCTGCTTTCTCTAAAGCACGCGACCAGTCCGCGTGTGGAAACTGAATGGCCAATCGGGAAGAGACTATCTTTGCCTGCTTTCCCAAAAACCTCTGCAATCGTTGCGGGATCAGTTATATGATGCACGTAAAGCATGGGGCTTCTTTGAAACATTTTCATTCGGATATGAAAGCAGACAAGATACCGCAGTCTGAAATTATTAGAGTTTTCGTGTGCATTGTGTGCTTTCCAATCGCCGTTAGGCAGCCAGAAGCATAATTGGTCAGTTGCGTCATTTCCAATTGCCAGATCAGTCGTTCTGAAGCGTCTTAAGCGCCAAAATCCCTGCATCCGACTCCGTCTGGCGACGGCCTCGTGGTGAATCTGTGTTAAACGCGCCTGTAGAACATATTTGTCCCCAAGGTCTACGATGCATGCGGTTAATATGCATAACAGCTAAACCGTCCATACGAGCTTACCGATCGACCGCAATGGGTGGAGGACGTCTGAACTGCGGCTACGTTGTAGTATGCAGCAGGCCAGACCAGTTATGCAGTGCAACGTCAAAAGCACATAAAAATAGGGGTAGAGTGCAATGAAACTTACCGATTTTAAATAGGCTGTTGCTCTCACGAATCGCGACAACTCGGCATCACGCCCTTTTAGAAGTTCGAAGTTGTACAGGAACGACTGTTTGATTTCATCTAACTGGGCGCTCTGCGTTGATATTTTCTGTTCTTTCTCCGACAGTCGTCTTTGCAGTCCCTCGATTTCCTTTGCAAGAAGCTCTTTCCATTCTTCCTCCTTTTTCCATACTACAGGATTGGATTTTAAGGCACATTGGATGAAAAAGAGTTGACGAACCTCCTACGATTGGTCTACATATACGTTCACAAGTTCGCATATAAGCAACAGTTTATTAAAGTAAATTGGAACTTATGGTTGGGAACGACAACTTAAAAAGGCGGTGGAAATGAAACATAGTATACGTGGGAAATTTCTTAAAGCAAAACGCATCGTCATACAGCAAACGCAAAAGCCAAAGTTCTTAGAACGGATATGCCTCGGGATGTAAATAATCTGTGTGTGCTTGCACACGTTAAACTTTTAGCTTCCTTCCGAGGAACTCCAGGAATAAGACAATTATATTCTAGATAGAGATAGGACCCCGGTATATGACCTATTAGCTAACCGCGGTAAACGCACTATTAGGCGGCATGTGAAGAAGAAGAAGATCAAGAGAAATAGATGCAGAAAAGGATCTGCTCTTTGGCGGTAGCAAACATTATCGAGCGGACTGTTCAGACCGGGAGTCGTCCGCTGGTAACTCAGAGGTATTTGATGCCCTCTTTGACGACGAGGCAACCATGGATATAAACTTCGGGGGAAGAAGACTAAGGAAGGCCTGCGCGGCTCACAGGTGTATGAAGTGATAAAGGGTAGGCCCTTGCTTATATGTAACTGCATGCCAAATAGACGTTTACACAGCATGGAACAGAGGAGAGAGGGTGGACATTTATGAACTCGAGTCCGACTTCAAAAGGCCGACGTCCAACGTAAACGACGTTTTCAGCAGGATTCTATTCTAGATGACTCTAATGGTTAGTGAAACCAAACTCTTATTACACCTACTTGGTATTGAACCGTCAACAGGACCGTCCTCGTCCCGGGCGCGTGAGTATACTCACGCTCGATTGATGCTGATAATTACTGTATTTTATATTTTCATAATAAATCCTTATTTTTCCTGTGTCACAACGCCTTCATTCAACTTTCTTGGAGGTAACGTAGTACGCATAGAAATAGATCGGATGAGAGGTGTTAAAACGTAAAAGCTGCAAGGGGAAGGCGTCCCGCAGCTGCATGGCGCCGTATCGCGACTTTTCGCCGTTGGTTCGATAGCAACCACATGGACAACATCCGCTATAAATTGGTCATAGTATCGTGACTTTTCCACAGCGAGGCACCAACGTCTTGCTATGGATTTGCTACTAGGGTGTTAAATAGGTTAAATAAACGAGGGAAGTAAGTGAACGCTTAACAGCCTTATCTGTATTCATAAAAAATAAAGACCAAAAATAGGGCAACTTCATCTTGCATTCTAAGTGAAGAACAGTATTACTTTGCTCTACTCCACGAATATCCCATGAGGTTACCACATCTGGCGTTTCCAACATAATTGAGAGCTGCTTACGCAGTGTGCTGTCCAATATGTGAAAAATGCATCAGGGTATGTAATCTTTGGGGTTTCGTTGGTCGGTGCGAATATCGACGGGTGAAAGATATTATTTTTTACGTGAAATCTGCGGGCACATTTGTTTACGCGCGTGTAACGTACGGGGCTAACTATGACTTGGTGTTGCTTTAACAGCCAATCAGAGTGAGGAAAAAGTAGGGTTCGTCACCTGTTTGTTTAAACGTATCGATAATATCTCTCGAATAAAACTGTAGCAGCCGAGGGCGTCAAGGGTAGTACACACCAGAGTGAGGAAACGCCGAGAAGAGATCCTGGCGGAGGAAGACCTGAACAGAACTGTTAGCATCTCTCGAAACTCGTTCACATGCAGAAGAAGGGAGTACGTCGAGTAAGGATCTAGTGTAATAGAATAAACATGATATCGAGAATGTACATAACAAACGTTAATGTACAAGTGGAACGAGGACCAGTGAAAAGATGACCTTTCTGGATGAATAGGTGACCCTGACATACTAACTAAACAGCCGGTGGGGATGCAGCGTTGTGGGCAACTTCAGGGAGGGGCCGACGTGGGGGCCGACGTTTAGCGAGAGAGAGACGATAGCGAGAGTGCGTTGCGCGAGGGGGGGGGTGTCGGCGAAAGCGAAGGCAAGGGACACCGGCTGCCTTCACCAGCACGCAGTTACACCATTGTAGCGTCCGAGGATATCAAGGGTAGCACACACCAAAGTTAGGAAACGCTGAGATGAGATCCTGGTGTAGGTAGAGTCTGAACAGAACTGTTAGCATCCCTGGATACTCATTCACACACGGAAGAAGAAGTACTTCAAGTATGAGATATAGTATAATAGAATGAAATGGATACGAAGAACGTGTATAGAAACGTAAGTGTACATGCGGAATGAGAAACTACGAATAGTTGACCTGTCTGGATGGATAGACGACCCTGAGATACTAGCTAAACAGCCGGTGGGGATGCAGCGCTGTGGGCAAATGCAGGGAAGGGTCGAGTGGGAGCCGACGTTGAGTGAGAGAGCGGGAGAGATTCGAGAGCGATGGTTCGTTGTGGGAGGGGGGGGGGAGTCGGCGGTAGCGAGTGGAGGGGACACCAGCCATCTTCGCCAGCACACAGTTACGTCCGCTCCATCCCAGGTCCGCGCGCCAAAAAAGTTCACACATTCAAACAACTCTGTTCGCGCCAAGGGGCGTTACACCATCTCCATCCCAGGTCCGTGCCAAAAGTGTCACGACATTCAAACAATCCTGTTCGTGCCAAGGGGCGTTACAAAACAACTCGTTATGCAGGGGAAACATCGGAATCAAGACACCTACTTTGTATCTCAACGACTGCATCTCATGTCAGCAGCCTAATTAAACCGGCCCGATGTCTGGTAATAAGCTCCTGCATGGGTTCAAAAGTTCAAACAAGTGAAATCGCCACTGTGATCGCGCCCTCATCGTCTTTGTAAAATGTTGGCTGGCTCTCTGAGTAGCATTCCATTATCGATACTTCTATGTTACCTTATCGGTGTAAAAGTTTTAACTGAATTCGTCGGTGTTTGTGTCTCTCAAGCTTTTGAAATCCGGTTTTACCACCAGCAATAGGCACGCGAGTGTTGCTTATTTGCAGGTCGCCACTTTTATATATGTCTGGCCGGCGTAACGCCTGCGAATCGTACTTCCCGAGTCACTCAATTAAAATGGGCAGTTTGCACTTAGTTGTATTGCCTCCTTATACGGGATACATTTTGCACAGTGGTTAATGGGAACCCTGATAGCTCCACTCTTTTTCTTAAGTCCATACCGACCTATCAAGATATTTCGATCGAATGAAAACTTACAAATAAGTTGAAGAATAATCGACAACAATCCAGCGCATTTTAGTGTACGTTAGGGAGATGAATACTACCTTTAAAAACTCAAAGGGCAGATATACGGATGAAAACCATATCCATATTAAAAGAGCAATTGGATCCGTTACGCCAGCCAGTGATGTCGAGTAAAAAATATGTCTATTAGGTTACAGTTTTCTAGGCCTTCTTTTAGGTGTTTCACGGTTCTCCTTTACGAAAATAGAGTTGAGCAGTTTATTCCAATCTTTATCAATCCGATGGAAGAATAAGTTGACCCAAACCTCAAGCGCGGAGCAGTCTGCTTACAATTTTCATTGATGACACCTATGCCTGTCGCCCAATCCTTTTAAATAAATCACCTAACCCATTTACAATGTTAAAGGAAAGGACCATATCCTTCTGCGTTGTCCATAAATCGAGGAAATATCCTAAGCCCTTTCGGTTGTCTCTCATACGGTTAATGCTATAATACGTTGACTAGTTTTTTGCTCTTCTTTGTACATTCTCCAAAACAGGCTGATCTTATTTCATTTTGAAGGGCAGCGCCTGATGTCAATATCCTAATAAGAGCCCACTATCGGCTTGACCAAAAGGATTGTGGTCAGAATGAATAAACGATCTTCTGATGGCGCTTAAGATAACCGTAGCTTTTTTTAATGTCTTATTATAGTAAGATAGTGGTCTGAGACTGAACGTCATCCACAAACGGAGGTTTTTGAGTTCGAAATCTGATTCATATATATAATCCTCTATGTAGTAACGATGATCAAGTCTTATCTGAAGTAGGCAAGAACGGCAGGATTTATTGGCACCAAAAAA